CAGTAATTCCGGTTATGAGAGCCAAAGTTTCCAGTATTTCTAGTTGTGAGGACCGGAAACTGACAGCTGTGACTGACAGACGAAAATCCTGAGAACTTATCAAAACTCAGCTGTCTGTCTCATAACTCTTGACATTTTATCTCATCAAAAGGCTGGTTCCACAACTTGCGTGAGTCAAATGTTTATTAATGAAAGGAAGTATTTAACAGCTAGCTCCGAGAACTTGCGTAAACTCACTATCAAACAAAAATACGCTCGAGTTCGTTCGTCTATTCTTCCAACCGATCACGATAAGATTTTCGATTCTAAGTTGCGTAAATAAGAAGTTGTGACCTCTGAGGGAACAAAAAAGACTCATGCATACTTAATTTCAAACTTGTGGTGCTTGATCCAGCCGGAATTCTGGGAAATAGAGGCAAAAAGAGATTCTGTAATACCAATCACAAAAAGAAAAAGAGAAAAATGTAAAAAAAAAAAAAAAAAAAAAAAAAAAAAAAAAAAAAAAAAAAAAATCAATGTCGTATTTACTTTAATAAACTCCCCCAAAACTAGACCTCAAAATATTCAAAGCAACCTTAATTATTTGTTGTTTAGGTTTACCGTATGAAAATCATGACTCTACAATGAAACAGTTTTACATTTACTTAACGCTTCCATTTACATTTATGTATGCTACAGTAAATGGACAATTTGATAAAATTTTTGTTCTAAAATGGATTTTAATTTTGTTTCAATTTATTTTTACTTCACTTTTTTACGGCTAATATTTTAAAAACACGCTCAGCGAGTAGCTGTAGCAGTTGAGTTGGATCCGAGGAAACTTTAGTTTCGATCAACTGGTAGGATCAAATGTTTCAATTTGGCGACATACCTGATTGAATCTCCTATTGTTTCTGAAAGTCAAATATTTTTATTATAACCTATTTGTTCCGCGGCACGCTTTGCTTTCTTATTTTCTCCCCCGACGGAAATATGACCAGCGAAAGTTATCAGTTACCGCGTAACGCATGGGTGAGCACTGAGCAGATGTCCGAATTTTCGAGGCCTGCATGCGTCGAAATAGTAAAAAAGCTCGTTGATATGCTTCCACCCGCTGAGCAAAGATTATATTCAAGGAAAGTGATCAAAGACCTGAATTTCACTTCAATAATTTAAAAAACTAGGTTACGATACTTCGGTTACGTGCGTGTCTTCTGCAGTCCCAGGTTTTTGGGGATGCAGGAATTTTCTTCTCATTATGCCGCGACTGGGAAATTGCGAGCTTTGAAAGTTCGCATTGGATTCCGCCTGACTTCTATGTGATATTCCATGATTTTACTTAAAAAAAATCCAAGACTACTTATGCCTAAAGAAGAAGAAAAAAAAAAAAAAAACACTAAATCCATCCCAAATAAGGCACAAGTACCTTCTCGTAACCATATGCAATGCCTCGTATCTTCACATTTTTCTGAATTTTTCCAGACACGGATTGGAAAAAAGCCTCGCCTAGGCAGTACCGCCGTGCTGAGGAAGAACGCCGTATGAAAATTCGAGAGTTGCCAAATTTCCCTAGATTAATCATGTATTTTTAAAAAAAAGTTGTGCATATTTTAACTTAAAATTTTCTGGTACATTAGATCAAATTGCTAACAAAATCGTCTGAAAAAGTTCACTAGAAAAAAAAACACATTGGATCTAGAGTCCAGACTCTCAAAAACATCGCCAGGAAAAAATACTCTTGATTCAATCGGATTTAAGCTTAAATCAAGAACGAAGCCTCTTAATTTGAGCAGATTTCCTTTTGATTTAAGCTTAAATCTGATTGAATCAAGAGTCCTTTTTCTTGTCAATGTTTTCAAGAGTCTGGACTCTAGATCCAATGTTTTTTTTTTTACCAGTGTTGAAGCAAAACATTCAAAAAATGTCCCAGTTAATTCGGGTTTTATTGAGGGGAATCTGGCAACGCTTGAAGGTTCATACGGCGTTTTTCCTTTGCACGGCAGCATGGCAGCACGAACGAACGAGCAGAGCGGCAAGCGCATTTAAAGAAAAGAGGAGAACCGCAAATTTTAGGCGAGGACAAAGAAAGTAAAATTGAACCACGCGAGACGGCGAGAAGAGGTGTAATTAGCACGAACGAAATGCACCAACTCGTTTCCACCTGATTTGCAAAGTAATTACGAGCTACTCTGCCGTGCTAAGGAGAAACGCCGTATGAACATTCGAGAGTTGCCAAATTTCCCTCGATAAAATGATTATTTTTGAGGAAAGCTGAGAATATTTTCCTTTGAAATTTTCAGGACTTCTAGAAAAAATTGCGAACATAATCATCTGAAAAATTGGAAGAAATTTTCTAGCAAATTTTCTCGAAAATTCTTAGCGCACCAAGGGAAATTTGGCAACGTCTGAAGGCTCATACGGCGTTTTTCCTTAGCACGGCAGTACTCTGGACCGTTGTAGACAGATTTCGGGGGGCCGATCCCGATTTCCAGACCATCATTACGGGCGATGACGATTGTTTTCCCCGTTTTCTTTCCGACTTTTCCACTCCGATGATCTGGCAATCGATCACACCTCACAGGCAGGACCGCGCGGCTCGCTGTATTCTGAAATCGCGCAAGTGCAGGCGCCTGACGAACCGCAAACTCTACTATTGGCGGAATTTCTGAGGCTCAGGCGGGGTCATGACGGTTACGTGGTTTCAGAACGGAAAAGTTCAATTATTCGAGAGCGACTGCTGCTGGAAAACAACGGCTCTTACTTTTTGTTCGAGTGGTGATCGGCAGTGCGGCGAAGCGTGAATAATCTGCTGTCGATATTTCACCATTTGAAGATATGGTAAAGAATCGATCACTAAGACAAATCTTGATAATCGACTCTTTTCAATGGATTTCATTGACAAATCAATCGAGTCATCGCAAATCACGACACGCTACTGGGTGAATGGGTGATCGATATGCGATTTTCCCGATTTTTCGCGACATGGTAGGAATTTTTGTCATCCTTCGTCGCCTTTGAAAATGGTGAATGTGCTGCTGTCAACCCAACATTAAACATGATAAACTTATCAGAACATGTTTGGAAAAAGCGTCGCAGCTCTGACACGGGTGCGTCTAACCACATACGCAAGAGCCGAGGAAAGCGAGAAGTTCTCCATAGAACTCCATACAATGCGATGCACATCTAAACGCAGTTACTATACGCACTTACATCAGAGAAACGACGATATTTTAAGAAAGATCGTCTCATACACCTGGGGTGGATAGGTTTTGTAAAGTTTCCTCTCGCTTTGGCAAAAAATAAAAATGGTAGATTTATTATACTGACCTCGAAAAGGGGGAGTTGCATTTAGCATGTTTAATTTCACAAAAGCGATTGTCATGATACGTGGTTAGTGTTTGCTATGCGAATGAAAATCGTGGGTACGATTAGAGCCATTTCAAAGTTATGAGAAGACATAAAAGTGCAAGGTTTGATGGATGAACTCTCTCACTTTTCATGGTTGAGTTTTTAGGGACTGTTCGAAGTTTCCCTTGATGTTTTAAGAACTTGTCTCCCTCTTATGTTTGCATGAAAGGTGGAAACTTTTTTTTTCTTTCTTTTTTTTCTGTTGTTTAAAGGCTTTGTGAAGTTGGAAACTTTGTGAAAAGCCGCAAAATTTTAAATGGCGTTTGTGAGTTATGTATTCAGCTTCAATCAAACACGCTTCATTACACAATATCGTAAGTTTCCTGAGTGACACCTACCTGGAATATACATTTGAGTAATTACGAAAAAGTTAGTACCGTTTTCCAAGGAAGCTCGATTTTCAGGGAAAGATTGGGATCGGTGACAATATGAGAAAAGAGAAAAATATTTGATGAGATATTGTATTCAGAGAACAATCGGGCAGACTCTCTCTCCGGTGATAAGACAGCACTTCCGGTCCGCTGGAGAATAAGAACACCGCGCGTACCCATGACGTGAGAGGAAATCATGCGACCGTTCGACCAAGCTTGTATGCCACCGTTATAACGGAGCTTACGTGGTTTAACAATCATAAGAAACTGCCCATTTCTCTATTATTGATTTTATTTTAATAATTGATTTACTCATTTCTAGGGCAAAGAAGTTGATAGTAGAACTTTTCGTCAATAATGCATGCATAATTGCACCTTGTTTGGATCGTATTTTTTTAAAAAAGGGACCAGCGCGATTACAGTGTTTTCAAAATCGTGCAATTTCTCATTTTCTTTTAAAAACATTTAGGTATTGCATGTACAGTATTCAAACTAATACAATTATTTTTCTTTAAAATTGACTATTTTTTGGTGCAAAGTAAAAATATTTGCTATTCTGGGAGATATTTCAGATAATTATGAGGAAGCAACATTTTTACGACACTGTAATCACGCTGGTTCCTTTCTGTGGAGTGCGATCCATTTGTGATTAGCCTTTTCCGGCTGAAAAGTAACTTATGAACAGCGGAGATTCCAATTACAACACATTCCAAGGAAGTGTGCACCAAAATGTTATAGCAGCAATACATGTCAAATGACTCAATAATTTAGAAATTGGCTCTGAATGGCTACAAACCATCCAATGCAGATTTAGTGACCTTGTCTGCTGGCGCATTAAAAACTCGATTCGGAGCGAAATTTGGCAACAGTTTCCGAGCCTGCATGAGCCAACTGCCAACACTACCATCATTAGCTACCGTACACCCGCATAGCATGTCAATATCGTCGCGTTGTTTGAAATGATCAGGATAAACAAACTGACGACCCTACATCCCTACATGATGCAATCTTTCGATGAGAGAGCTTGCAGTATCATCTCGATGGTGCGGTAAAACTACAAAACCACGTACCTTGGCTCACAACAATGTAAATTTATTGAATGAGAAATCACTGACATTGTACAAAATTTTGCGGAAGTTTTCAGCGTGATAGTTTCAAATATATCACGAGTAAACACATGCTAGAACTTGCTGCTAAAACGTACAAATCAAAACGCACGAAGTAGTATGAGCGTTTACTTACCCTTGAACTGCGAGACGCTTTTGGATCTAAATATGTTCGTAGTTTGCTTAAATAATGTGCTGGCGTATCTTTCGCTTGAACTCTCTCCTGGAAAAAACAAAAAAGGAAAATTGATTAGTTGAATGATATCCATCGGTACGACAAGAATTGGCGTATACAGACACACATTGAGTTTCTTACATTAGCGCGTTTGAATCTAATGGCTGGCGCTCTTTGGACTAGGTTCGGGTCGGTTAGGCAACTAAACTAACGGCGTGGATATGCGTGGAGTATAAAATGAAAATGAAGGCGCTCCGGGTCGCACTCACGTTCTTCAGAGATTTCTTGCCTAATATAATGTCCTCATTACGGTAACTTAGGTTGGGTTGTCCGAAGATTAATGTGATAAGACGTATGACGGCTAAAACACAAATTCCGGGTTTCACAGTGAAGATTTCGGACTTCAAGTTCAAGTTATACGGTTGGGTTAAATATAATCTAACTTTACAAGTTCGAATCCCCCCGTTTCAGAGCGACAACATTTCGTGGATTTCAAAATACTCTTGATCCTGATGGATGTGGAGCTTGACAGTGATTTTTACGAGACATTTTCTCAATAAATCTTTTGAAACTGAAGAAAATGCAAAACTCGAGAACACAGGCGCAGGAGCTGCTCCTCAAAACCATATGATTATTTTTAGATGTACAAAGATGATCGCATGGAGAGAAATTTCTCACATTTCCTTCTTATCAAACTGACTACACATTGTGTACATAGGATTTTGAATGGTAGTTAATGAGAATATTGATCTCTAAAAGTTTTGGAAAAAAGATAATTACGATGTAAAATTCAAGGTTTCAACGACAAAAATTCACTCAACACGATTGAGTAACATGTCCTAGCTTTTCCGGGTTTCTTCGACCGTTTAGGAACTTGACACCCTGTTCACGAAAATTAACGAACGGCACTGCTCGCTAATTGCTGACTTACAAAGCGTGTAACATGAAAATACTCCATCTTGCACCGTGCATCAACTTGCATTTAACCGCACCTAAACGCTCTAAATTCCGCGGACCTCAAAAAACAGCGGAAGAAAGGAAAGTCCGCCGGCAATTTATTTTCTTTCAATTTACATGTTCGTCTAGTCCGTATCGGGAAACTATACGGGCCCCGTGGCGAACAGGGGAGCTGCGGCGGGAAGGCATTTCGCGCAGCTGGCGCATAATGGGGCACGTCCTCGGGAGAAGGTGGAAAAGAAATATTTGACCAACACTACACATTTTTATAGTTACCCTGTCACATTGAAAAAATTTATGGGAACGTGTCATGAAGGAAATTTCAAGAAAAACCCAATAAACCCACTTATATTGACTCCTACTTTGTTCACAAATGAAGAAATAAACTTTGAAAATGTCCAGATTTTGTCCAACTTCTCACATCGACTCGTCCCACCGTGCGGTGGGTCGCCCGTCGTCGCATCGTTGCACGAACTCCTTTCTCCCGACGCCGATGCGGCGGCGGCGGTGTAGGTCAGTCGATGTGGATGTGTATCCTGTTGCGAGTTTCGCCTTCGCCCGTGAAACGGACCCCCCCNGAGATTTATTGGTAGGGGGCTGAGCTTTGAGCTTTGTCGATAGGGGCCCCGTCACGCGGGGCAGGCGATCCCGTCGATAAGGGCCCTCCCTGCCCGAGTTTTATCCCCGGAGCAGGAGGAGGAGCGGTCATCCGCTCTTGCGATGTATCGATTGATCTGCCGTTTAAACCTATGGAGAAAGATCGATAATCAGGGTGTTCGCAACGAACCCATTGGTAATCGATTCTTCACCATGGCTTCCGATGGGAAATATCGATACTCGATGATTCCGCTCCGTTTCCCCTGATCGACAAGGCTCCGCGAAGAAAGTTCCAGTCCTCCAGCCGCGGTTATCTGATTCTGCCCGAGGAAGCCCTATTTTCCCATGGACCTGCGAATTTGTATGCCTCCGGGCTGACGCTGAGTCTCGTGTCCTCGATGTTTAAGATTCGGGACGATCGTATTTTAAGGTCTGGATACACGATCAAATTCCGAACCAATTCTGATCGAAGTAGATCGCTTGATGACTGGTGGTCACCATGCAACAGTCCTCTTTGATCGAAATTGGACGGGCCGTCAAATTTTGATCAGAATGAAGTGCCACCTTACATCATTTCCTGCCAAGTTTTCATTTTAAAACTAAGCAAATTAATGATTTAAGACTGATGACTCCCGACTCTTTGATGCTAATATGTTCGGGACTTTGATCGTGTATCGAAACCTATGTTGCCGTGCTGAGGAAAAACGCCGTACGAGCATTCGAGAGTTGCCAAATTTCCTTCGATAAAACGTTTATTATTGAGAAAAGTTATGCATATTTCCTTAACGTTTTGCGAAATGGGTGAAGTATTCCTACAGTCTTGTAGGCGCTACGCGTTTCACGTTGATTGCTGCTGACCGCACTATGTTTGACGCAATGCGTGAAGTATTCATGCAGCCTTGTAGGCGCTATGCGTTTCATGCCGACTGCTACTGATCGCACTGAGTTTGACGCAATGCGTGAGGTATTCATGCAGTCTTGTAGGGGCTACTGTGTGTTTCATGCCGACATTTGATGGTCATTGGCTCGGGAATTTGATCGTGTATCGAGACCTTTAGCCTCCGTTGTATCTTGCCGATAAAGGAAAGGGATTGGATGCGATGATAAAATGGCACTGTGGCGCCGCGCCGCCGTATGAGGACTATCAGACCTGCCTATAGGGAGATGAATATAGAGGCAGAAAAAAGACGGAAAAAAGAAAAAAAACGAAAAGACAAAATATACGGAGGAGTGAGAGAGAAAGAAGAAAGTAGAGGAAAGAATAAAAAAAGAAGCAGAGAGAAAAAGAGGAGACAGTGTAAAAAAGAAGAAAATAAGAGGAAAACAGAAGGATGACTATCACAGAACAAAAAAGAGGAGAGAATGTACGAAAAAGAAAGAAAAAAATATTGTTTTGGGCCTGTCATCAATGAAGACACAGCCATTCAAAAAACATACACCTAAAATGCGGGAAAAAGTTGGATTTCCACTCTATCGTGAATAGGTGAATGGTGATGGTGGCTTAGGATAGAGCATGCAAGAAGTTTGGACACAGTAGGTATCAACTTCGCGCTAAGCAAGAACGCATAAGTGTGTTCATACAATAAATTTGAATAGATCGTATGCATAAATTTGAATAGGGCATATTCATGAAGGCCGGAGGAAGACTTTAACCTGGGGGAAAACTTCAACTTTTTTCCCCGTGCTTAATGCTTACGGTGGTTACCTCGTTTTAGGGTTTAACCCCCAAAAAATACTGAAAAAAAGATTGGTAGAATTTATCATTTCTTCACGCAGTATCTCACACCGAGTCAATTCAGAGTCAATTCTGCCAGAAGAAAGGTAAAGGTTACTAAATACTGGTACAGGTAACCATTCCTCTAGCAGAATCGACTTTCAATTCACGCTGTGTGAAATACAGCGTGAAGGAATGGTAGGTAAATCTTTGTTTTCGGTGAGGTAACAAAGATGCAATATTGAGCAAGTCCGAACTTCCGAAGAAGAAGAACCTTAATCGTCATGAAGCGTCTTGTGAGGACAGATATTATTTTTGGCGAAACTGGGAGATTTGAACATCAAAACACGATTTAAGGACACGCGAAATGAGCCCGATCGCCATTCTCTAACTTGAGTCTATCGGTACGCACTCGCACACGTTTCCCCTCTTCACAAACAAAAATGCAAGTCTAAATTATTCTGCAAGTGATACGAATAGTTTTCCGCGCTGTATGCAAAGTGGATAACGATTCGTGCCACAACTGAGGGAGAGGCATCATTGTGAATATGCGGTAATCCTCATTTCCTCGCCCTTTACTTCAGTGGCGGTGCGTGCCTTGCGATATATCGATTGTCATGCCATTTAAACATATGGAAAAGGATCGATAAACAGCGTGTTCGCAGCGAACACCTTAATAATCGATTCTTTACCATAGGTTTAAATGGCATAATAATCGATATATCGTAAAACAAGCCTCGCCACTGCTTTACCTCTCTCTATCAGGTGAGGATACTTTGTTGGTCGTGGTATCAAATGCTCAATGCATGTGGGATGTATCATTATATCGTGATTCGAGCTTCGAGGCACGGAAAGGAAATTACGCTGCAAAAGGGCATAATAGAGGAAGAATCTACGAAGTTACCAGGGTGCTTGACCCAAGTGGAGCTAAACTGTTTTTTCTCGCTTATGAAACAAAGAGTGACGTCGACAGCAAAAGGGGATCTTATAAGAGACGTGAACTTGCCGAAATTATTATCACGATTTTGAGATGTGACATCGTACATTTCATAGTATACGGAACTTGCGAAAATTTACGTCGGTTATCGGTATTTGAGGAACTTTTTTCGGAAATACGCCTTTTAATAATCGACTTGAAACTACCATACATTAGTTTTTACCGACTTTTTTGGGAATTTCATGTTTTAAAATGTTTGTTGTTTACAACCCAGCCCTTTACGCTCATTTGATAAAATTTCAGTTTTGTTGGGCTGAGACCCCTCCCTGTCTCCATGGAAAGTTACATTGCGATGATGCAAGTCGCAAAACGCGTACCTAAATTGTGACGTTCCAAAATTTCCGCTGTTGTTTTTTCATGTTTATGTCTTTTTTTTTAAAAGGAAACCCTAATAAACTTATTCATTAGATATTTTAATTTTCGTATTATATACTGTGCAGGGTGAAGAAAAAGCTATTAAAATGTTAGGAAATAATCTCCATTGGTTTCCTCTGGAATAAGTGACGAAGGACGATAAATTTGCAACGTAGCAAATCGAGATAAGTGTTTCCGACTTTCATCGTCGATATTTAAACCTCATCGATCACGACTATGCCGATTAAAAACGAGGCGAAACCCAATTTTCCCTCATTGGCTGAACATCCTGTGCTTCTCTTGAGTGATTTCGTTTAAGAGGAAGCGTTTTCATTGGAGGAGTCCTTTTAGAAGCGCCAGAGTGTCTCTCGTGACTATAAACTTACTCGTTGAGTAAGAATGTCGAATACGTTAGTTTAACGGCGACGA